AACCAAGACCCAAGACGTTACCATGACCGAGGCCCAACAACCTCAAGGACAACAACAACAAGACAAGAGCAAGCAAGAGCTCGTAAAGATCATCAAGCACTACAAGGATAAGCTTGACAAGCTGGTTTCCCAATTCAGTGAAGTCATGGAGACCGCAAGTACCGAGCAAATTCAGTTGCGTCAAGCTGACATTGCCAAGACCCAAAAGGCTCTCGATAGCTTCCGCTATACCTATGAGCGGGAATACGGTGAAAAACCGAAACCTGCTAAAAAGGAGAAAGAAGCTAAAAAGGCTAAGGAAGGTGGCAATACCACTACCAAAGTCTCTGATAGGATGTCCGCTAAGGAAGTGCCATTGTTCCAGATTGCTGGTTTCTCTGTGTTCGATAGCAGCAAGGAGGTATACCCAACTGCTGAGCACTTTTTGAACCGCTTCGAAAAGATCTTGAATGCCAATACCAGTGGTTGCAAAAAGACTTGGAAAAGATGGCTACCTTTGGCAGTGCCCCATTACTTGGATCATTGGTTCAAGGAAAAGGTTTTTGCTCGTAAGGGCATGACTTGGGACCGGGCATGTAAAATCATTCTCAAACGCTTTACTGCTGCGGATCAGCAAATGCACAAGGCTAAGGAAGCATACACCATGATGCAATTACCTGCCGAGTCAGTTGCTGATTATGGAATACGTTTCATGAATGCTGCTAGAGAGGGTGGTCTCGAAGACAACCATAATTTGGCTATTCGTTTCCTCACTTCTTTGCAAGATAGGATTCAAGAAAACGTTCAGGTGGCGTGGATTGGTAAACGAGGCAGTCATAAGCCCAAACGGGTTAGTGAAATCCTCAAAGTGGCCAATTCATTGACCATTTACAAGCGTAAGCGTGAGGAGGATCCGCAATCCAATGCTAGTAACAAGAAGTATTGGTGCCCTCATCATCAGCAGTACGTTAAGCACAAGCCTGCTGACTGCAACCAAGCGGTCAAGTCCAAGCCCAAGGGCAACAAGGCTAAAAGCAAGGTTGAGTCTTTGTATGAAGATGGGCTTTGCATTTATTGTGGCAAGGACTGGGATCCTGATCATCGTTGTGACGAATACCGCGAGGCTAAAAAGAAAAAGCGGGAAGCCAAACGACAAGAAAAGAAGCTCAATGCCTTTGCTGCCACTGCTGCTACTACTACTGCCGCCGATAATACATGCAACTCAGCTGATCCTGAGCCTGCTACCGATAAGATGGAGTCCACCGATATGGATGAAGTCCCTCACCCTGCCGATGATGCCATGGAAGATGTTTTGAGTGACATCGAGAATATCGAGGACATCCTCATTCAGTCTTCTGGTAAGTGTTTAGGCAACATTAGCTCAAACAAAAGATCACATGTACTCATCAATTCTCCCATTCTTATACAGAATAAGCGATACTGGGCCTTAGTAGATTCAGGAGCTGAAATTTCTGTTGTTAATAAAAGATTGTGTCATGATAATAATTGGACTATTCAATCTATTGATGGGAACATATTGTATCCGGGTACAGGTGATCGATGTGCACGCATTGGTATAACCGAGCCATTGCACATCAGCTATAATGGTCATAAGACTACATTTGTCTTTGAAGTGATGGATCTTGATAAAGAGGATGTCATCATTGGAGCGGATTTGATGCCGCATATTGGACTTGCAATTACAGGTTTAGCTGTCCGCTGGGATGATGAAGAAGATTCTAGTGAAAACGAGAAGCCTGATTCAGACACTCCTAATGACGCACCTGCAGGTTCTGATGATGAACGTAAAGCTTTCTTCAATGGGATTAACAAGTTCCTTGAAGCTAATGCTAACATCTTATCCACCACGTTTTGTAACATTCCTGAATCAATTGTGGAGTTGCCCACGCCCGATGGTGTCACTTCGTATCACCGCCAATATCCTATACCGTTTAAGCTGAGACCAGTTATTGATGCTGCTGTCAAAAAATGGCTAAAGGATGGTGTCATTGTTAAAGCTCCAGTCAACACG